AAGCCGTTAGAGAGATGAGTGGACGCATTTGAATTAGTAGTATACCAAGGTATCTAGTGATGTAATTTTACCCACAAACGGACTTGAAGTTTTTAAGCTAATTTTTTTTAAAGCACTTTTGTCCAAAAAAGCATATTTTTGACCCAAAATCAAAAACGCATTCTGGATATTTAAAATAAAGACAAGTTTTACAAAGTTTGTATAATAAACTTTCAGAAAATATATAACATGTTGGATATATAATACCATCTTCATTGTCTAATTACTCAATTAAAAAGCAAGCCAAATAAACTGCATCTCTACCTTAAATGATTAGAGCAACCTAAAACTACCAAGTATTCACTTACACTGACAACATCTGAGTATACTTAGTGTAACAGTATGGTTGAGTCAAAAGTGATCAGTTTCCAATACACCACACACAATGTGATGCCTTTATTTATTCTAGTAACTCCTACATACATCTAAGGTGATTTCATTGTATTATTTGCAATAGAAAATGCTTTACAATGTTTTCAATTGCTTAATAATGAAGTTAATTGTTTCAAACTGTTTCCATACATACTGTGAAAGCTGCAAGTTTGTATCAAAATACTAAGTGGTAGTTTTGTCAAAAGAATATGGCTATTGACCTATAGAGGGTGCTAGTCAACATGCAGAGATGCATTCAGGCTTATACCATTGTACTGAGAAATACAGTTACTATAGCAGTTTTACTTGATGACGAGCGTTCGCAGTAAAGTGCTATTTTTGACGATATAATCTCCTAAATCTACTACACTTAGACATTCCATCTGAACATTACTGTAGCAAGTTTGATTTTAACTGAGCAGAATTTAAGACGTAAGCTAGTGTTATTTGGCATGTGGCAAGTTAATTGTCCAGAGACATGTGAACTTTATCATTGAAAAAACAGAACAAAAAAAAGCATCTATCATTCTGTGCCTAATATATATCAGTTACTATAAGCAGTTGACTTACCGATTACATCAACAGTGTAGGTGGCACTAATATTGCCAACATTATTTTTAACAATACATGTGTATTTTCCGCTGTCTGTTGCATCCAAATCACGTAATTTCAAAGTCCATTTGGCGCGTTTACTTTCACCGACCTCATCTGTAAGCACGACGCCATCTTTCAACCAGTATATAGAGGGGCGGGGATGCCCAGTTGCTGCACATTTTAATCTCACCGAACTTCCCACGGGTCTTGGTATCGTTCTTCTAGACATTTTACTTGGCTGCGAAAATCTTGGGAATGCTGAAAAAAGTACAAATAAATCAGTTACATCTTATGCGGGTCTGTTTGACAGATGGGAGGGGAGTCAACACTCTGCTGAGGGGTCAAATGTGAATTTGGAGGGTCATGGATAGGGTAAAAGGGCCTACCAAACAGTGTATCCATTTTCGTACTTTGTTTTTTTTTGTGTTTAATTTATTCAGACTAATTGCAACTTTAAGTGTTAGCAAGGTTACAACAAGGACAATGCCTTCAGGCAATGATTTAATTGCCTCTGGTTTTTCATAAGCCCACCATCGAAATGGACCTATTATGCTATTTTGTTAATTTTCCTAAAATAATAAGCACAGAGTTTTGGTAGGACAACTCACTAATAAATCAGTAAAAAAAGACAGTGCATGGAATCTATTAGTAACAGTTGAGTGGAATGATGAA